TTTTGAAGAAAATTATATAAACGACCGAATAAACCACGAAACAACATGAAACAATCAAGTGAACAGCCACGATAATAACATAAGTTGAATCAATTTTATCAAAAAATTCAACAAATGAAACGCATAATTTTGTTGTGTATTCTAATCGTCATAATCGCCGTTCTCACTACTACTTCGGCGGATACATCAGGTGATAACCTTTACCTCCAAGATGTTGCACTCGAAAGATACGAACTTACTCCAACACTTGAAGACTCTCCTCACCAGCAAGCTTACCAACCATCTTGCCAAGAATCTGATGTTGAAGAGGTTCCGAGTGGGGAAGATTCTGAAATTGATGATACTGAATCTTCACAAATGATGTTATACAGAAGGTTCAGGCATGTGTTCGGAGATGTAGATACACTGCATCTATTTGGACCAGATTTCCTGTTTTGAAAAAATGCATTACCCGATGTATAACTACTGAATCCAAGATTCGGAGCTGATGATATGCAACAACCAATAAATTTTAAGACCTTTAGGTGGTAAAATTTATGATAGCCATTGCTTTAAATGATGGTTCACTTTGAATGATAATGTTCAAAAGCAAATAAAGAAGGAAGGTCTATTTAAGATATTTCCATACTGGTTATTGTTAAATTCAAATTAAAAATATTCAATTCAAAAAATTAAATAATTCAAAAATTAAATAAAATTTCAAATCTCAAATTTAAATCTAATACCTCTAAGGAACTGATGTTCAAAATATCTCTGAAATCTTTAAAACATATTAGGTTTATTCGTATAATGTTATAATTGTTGCAATTAAAGGCATCCTTAATTTATTGTTTTTTAAACAGCTACCAACAATAAACAATTGTGTTCTATTGCTGATAGTTTTAAACAAATTGATGTAGTCTAATTAGTCATGATACAAGCAAATATTCATAACAACTGTTGAAAACAAGATATGGTTAGAAATTAAGTCTGAATTAATACACTAAATTTTGCAAGGTGTTTTTTTTTTTTATTATAATGCAAAAAGGAAATTTAATTTATATTATTAATCGGCTGGAGCTGAGGGAGCGAACTGAAAGCCTTTACCATTGATGTAAATTACCATTAGACTTTCTCTAAAATGAACATAAAGATTTATAGATTGTTCTATATGGTCATCGATCTTATTAGAGTTGTATTCCTAAAGTTTAAACACAATTCTAAACTTAAGGCTCCAGATTGTAAAACGCAGCCATTTTGTTAGTAATAAAACGATTGCGTCTTGTAAAGTTGGATCTTTATACATCAGGTATTTAAATTTAATGTTGGCTTTTATGCTGTATATATAGATGGGGGTGAAATTATAATGATAATTTCTACATTCTATAATTTCTACTGTTGAAATTTGTAAAAATGTAAAAATTAATTTATATACAAAAATTAAATCAACAGTTGAAATTAATTTTTAAAACAAAATATATTTTAAAAAATAGTAACTAGATACCTGTATTTTATTATTTTAAGTATTCACACAAGCGTTGTTTTAAAAAAAACCGGTAATTATAATCTTAAATTACAAGTATATATTTTTAATTCATGAGAAAATTTTTAATTTATAAAAATCCGGATTTGCAGATTTTTACAACTTTAAATTATTGATTTGTAAACCCGAATCTAGTATGCAGCTAAGAGTTTAGATATTTGAAAAAATCGAGTTAGGTTAATATAGATTTCGCAGTAAATTACATAGTGGGTTTACCATCGTAGAGAATCTTGTATATGGTAGCATATTCATATTTAAACTATAAATGCTGTAACAGTATAAGTTGAAATATGTTGTGATTACAAATATGTGTATGCAATTTGAAAAGCAACAAAGTAGATACTAAACTTGGTCCTATAAGTAGAAGCAGCTTGTTGTCAATGAAGTCTAAGAGTCTAGGCATGATACACCAAGGAGCAGACATCAAAAGAACAGATGGTTTTTCTTGGGGTCAAGTTTTCTTTCTGGCAGACTTTTTAAGATATTCAGTATCCAAACTAGAAGGTTTATTCTGAGAACAAGTTTGTAAAAGTAGCCAATATGCACTCCTAAGTTGATAGAAACAGAGGAGCTGGACTATACAACTGTAAAACTTACAAGAAGAACCTCACATATTTTCATTGGCCCTCTACTTTTTTTTCGATAAAATTTTTGTAAAAAGTGGGCATCTTAGCTTATCTCCTTCAAATGATCAACATTACATGTATCAAACAAGTCAGCATTGTTTATCTTTCAAATCGAAATATAACAACAAACATATGTAAGACACATATCTCAAATACAATGAATATTTGTACAAATAATGCTTTGAGACTTTGTTCTAACCTCTCTACAATTAAGCTAGTCAATAAAGTTTTTTCCACTAGGTTTTTACTTTGATATACTAGGTAGATAAATATAGAAGTAGAGACTAGTTTGTTTAGTAGTATATAATTTTTTTAAGCCTCTTATAGGCTTATAATAGTAGCATTAGGATAGGTAAATTATTTTGGTTTTGTTTTTTTTTAATATTCTTTTACCTCTTTTCTTTTTGTATTTATATATTTTTACTATATTCTTCTACACCTTTATATTTTTTTTTTAGTTTGTTTAGTTTAATTTTCTAATTTTGCTTCTTAATAAGCAGTATAGCTGCCAGTTGATGAACAACAAAAAAAAAGTTTTTAGTAAGTTAAAGACCTGAAGAGAGGCCAAGATATAAATAAAATTCTGTAATCTTGTATTACTGTAATTTTTGAATGACTTGATCCTAAATAAACAAGAGCAGAATAGCTAAATTAAGGGGTCTGTTAAAGCCAGGTGTGTTTGGTATAAATTTGGAAATAATCTATATACTGCATAAATTACCTTCTTGATATTTATATAAACTACTAACTATTACTACATCAAAAATGTAACCCTAACTGCATCAAAAAAGTAATTCTAATGCTTCTGGCTTTAACATTTCTCTAAATTAATAAAAAAAAAATATATATAATAAAAGTATTAAAATAAATAAAGTCACAAGCAAAATCCTATCTAAACATTAAAAGGTTTAAAGCAATTTTAATTTTTTTAAATATATATATAAAAGATGATTTCTATTTGTACACTAGTATATGAAACATAGGTATATAGAAAGCCAATCAGGGTACATGATCAGGTGTAACATCAAATTATTGCTTTCTTTAAAAAATCATTTATAACTCAAAATTTCGCTTATGAAATTATCTTTTTAGTATTAATTAAAAAAATTCCTTGCGAAATTTTGATATAAGCTATTCACCCTGCCCTGTCTCAAGCCTACCCTTACTCTAACCTTAGATAGTGCTTAACTTTTCATTTATTCAAACTGTTTTGATTTACACATTACACAGATTTGCAAATTAAT